ATAATAACAATTTAGTCGTCACTTGTCATTATTACATGACAAAATGCATATATTTAATTACTGCTTTGATATGAAAGAATCGTTCGACTTAATAATATAGTAAAAAGTAATTAAATTGATAAAAGTTAAATGTAAAGAGTCGCATTTATTTAATTGTTTCAAATTAAGATTAAATTAATAAAAATACATATTTTTTATTTAATATTGACAAATATTACATAATTTTTGAAAAAAAATCTAATAAGTGACTATAGTAATAAAAATGTTATATTTTAAAAATAAATTAAAATTCAAATAAATTGTACTTGAAATGTATATATATTATCAATTTGTTAGGGAAATTTTGCACATCGACCTATCAAAGCCTTAAAATTATTTGAAATATATAGCGATTTCTCTTGTTTATCAAATAAACCCTCAAATTGGTTCAATAATTTGAATGGGGTTAGGTTATTTTAGGTGGGACATAAACATGAACTGCACATTGAAAGCTACCGAACGAAGCATTGATTGGCAATAACGATTCTTTATTTACTGTGCTCGTATTGTGAATGAGATATACGTAAATATATTAATGGGTTATGTCAATTGGTAAGCAGTTTGACATCGTATGTCTCGAATTTGAGTTATTATATATGTAAAAATTCCTCATTAAGAGACTTATCCGCCAAAATTAAGTATGCGACACGAGTCAATCCTGATTTATTAGGACGAAGCCTTAAAAACCCAGATGACAACAAGAAAAAATATATATACATATTGTTATCATTGCTATTATACTAATCATTAAAGATTATATTAATGCACATTTAGGGATGGTTATTTAATTCGAATTTGGGGAATTGATTTTATTGTTTTGAGTAGAGCTGGGTATACAGGCTACCCACCCGTTTAGCCTGCGGGTTTTGACGGTGTGGGCTTAAATGGAGCGGTTTAAAAAGCCCGAATTCATAAACTGTTTTGAATTTTAAGGCCCGCGGGCTAAACGGGCTTACCTGCAGCCCGTTAAATAACAACAATTTTAAATGCTTTAAATGCAATAAAAAAATAATGTTCTAACTTGTTACACCTTTAAAAATAATCCAACAACTTGAAAAGAAAGATAACACCGTCAAAATAATAAATAATATTTAAATTTTATTTTAAATAGCCATAAATGATTATAAAATAATATTTGTTTTAATTTTTTTAATCACTAATATATATATAACGATATAATTACTTAAACTCAAATTAAAAAAAATAATATTCACTTATATCACCAAATTGAAAAACAAATAAAGCAATAACCACATTATACTTTTATAAAACACGATTATTCAAGGCTATAATATGTTATTCAAGACTATAATATGAAGACACAGAAGTGTCTGCAAGCAGAAATTCAAACATAAAATTCAACAAAGTCAAACATTACACAAATTTAACAAGAAAGTTGTCTAGTAGTCCTAATAATTGTATTGTATAGATACTTTAGAGAAAGACTAAAACATAATATGAATATATAAAATAAAATACTTACATTATAAGAGTAAATTTGAAAGATACGGTTATATTAAAATTTATAAAATATAAGTCATTAATTTGTTAAAATATATTTATTTTGTAAAAGCTCTTTAAAAGTTGAAAAGTTTGTTTTCAATTTTTTCTTTTACTTTTCTTTCTTATTTTTAATCCAAATATTACGTGTCATGTGATATATTATTAGAATATCACGTGACTTTTTATAATTAAAGAACAAAATGGATAACATACTTCATGAAAAAAATAAATGTCAAAATTAAATTTTAAAAAATCTTTAAATACCAAAGTGATAATGATGTAAATTTTATAAGACTAAAATACTATATAAATCTTTTAATTTTTATTTTTAAAAATAAAGAATAATTTGATACATTGTAAATGAAAAAAAATATCAAACAACGGTAAAATTATGACAAACGTCCTAATAAATTTAAGAACTACAATGGTTATAAGTAACATCATATTTATAGGTAATTTATTTTTTTTTCGATAAAATTATTTAAGTTTATTTTCTCTAAAATTTATAAATTTTAAATTAAGCGGGCTTTGCGGGCTACCCGCGGTTATACCCATTAAACCTGCGGGTTTAACGGTCCGAACTAAAAAGCTTACAATTTAAACGGGCTTTAGTTTTTTAGGCCCGAAACCCGCACGGGCCGCGAGTTAAACGGGTAGCCCGCGGGCCTTAACCCATATACCCAGCTCTAGTTTTGAGTTTGGGTTAAACTTTTTTGAAAGGTGTAATCAGATTGAATTTTAGTTACGGTGAAAATAATTTGACATGATCCGAGATAATATTATAATCTTTTCTTATATATTTAGAAACAATTGTAATAATATTATTCTCTATATTTTTTATTCAATTAGACCCTTATTTCACTTAATAAAAATAAATTATATATATTTGAGTCGAGTTGGATGCAAATCGGAGATGGGTTCAACCTAAAAAATAAAATCAATTTTCAAGTTGGATGATACTCTCCTAAGTTTAAGTCAAATCGAGTGCAAATAAAATCATTTAATTTTTAAATTAAATTCAGATAAATTAAAAACTCGATCAAACTCATCCCGTGAACATTCCTATACACATAACAATCACACCTTCTTTTTGTCTATAAAACAAATTATTTGCAAGGATAAGTGGAAATGCATATAAGAAAGGGATAATGAAACAGATTTGATGTGTTATCTGTCAAAGAACCAAACAAAATCTATTTGGCAAGCTGTCACCACTCGCCCTGCTGCGTGGGCGTAGCTCTCTTGCTTTCGAGTGGGCTCAGATCTTCAATAAGCCTTAGCCTTTGCTGCTAGGGGTGTGTAAATTTGGGTATCTGGGTTTTTGGGTATTCGTAATATTCGGGTCCATGCCTATTTAAATATTTAAGTAGATAAAATATATCACCAACAAAAAATTCAAACGAATAAATTGATAAAATTATAAATATATTTTTTTAATTTTAATAATAAAAATCTATTTTTATTCGTTAAAAAAAGTATTTAGACATGAACTCGGTCCATGCCTATCTTTCTAGTGGCCGAAGTACAAAAAGTAGGGTGACGTAAGAATAAAACCTGCCGGCCATGTCGGAGTCTCCGACAGGGAATCTTCTCTTTCCCTCAAACGCCAAATGGATATATGGTTTTAGATCTCACATTCTCTCTAATGAAAAAAAAAAGAAAATAATCTCAGTGACCAAAAATCTCAGATAATATACGATTTTGATTAATTTTTTTTGGATTTGTAAAAATGACCAACAAAATCGCAATGCGATCTCTAATTAAAAGTGATTATTCAAGAAACAATTAACAATCATGCACCTTAAAACAACTGAATCAACAACCAATTGCATTAGTATTATACGATTAAATATGTCATAATTAAAAGTTAATCTACAATCAATCGCGATTATTACAATTTTAAGCAAAACATTCAAAAATAATATCACTATTTAAGGCTCAATCCCACATAGTATTGAGAACAAGTGTTGGTAATGCTCAAATCCCACATAGTATTCGAAACACTATTGGGAATGGTATTTAAGGCTTGGCTTTCCCACTTCCTTGTTGAGTGATAGAGAACAAGGGAGACTCTCGCGCGCCGCCGCCGTCGTCCGTCTCGTCTCGTCTCGTGGTCGTGGTCGTGGTAATACGTGTCTTCGACACGTCCGCGCGGATACTATCTTTTTAGAGAAAATTCTTAAGAAACAAAATCTTTTTTTTAACTATCACAACTGTAGACTTTCGCAACAACAACTGTAGACTATCGCAACGCGAAATGGAAAATCACAACGCGATTTTCAACTATCGCAACGCGAAATGGAAAATCACAACGCGATTTTCAACTACCGCAACGCGAAATAGAAAATTGCAACGCGATTTTCAACTATCGCAACGCGAAATGGAAAATCGCAACGCGATTTTCAACTATCGCAACGCGAAATGCAACGCAAATTTGCGATAGTGGAGATCGCAATGCGAATTAGAGATCGCATTGCGATTTTGTTGGTCATTTTCGCAAATCCAAAAAAAAATTGTCAAAATCGTATATTATCTGAGATTTTTGGTCATTGAAGTTATTTTCTCAAAAAGAAATCAAACACACAATTTTTTACCAAGGATAAACTATATTGCTAGTCACTGAATTATTAGGGTACTTTTACTTTGGTCATTAAACTTTTAAAATATATATTACATCATTAAACTTTTAATTCATTTTTATTAATGTCACTGACAATAATTTCCGTTAAAAATATTGACGTGATGCGGTAAATTTTTCTTTCCTAAAAAGAACCCCTAAAGTTTCAAATATGTAGTCGCCATAAAAGGTTACATGTTCGATAAACGAAACAATTGTATGTTAATCTCAATATTGGAAGGATCCATTTGACCAGAATATTAATATAGTTTGATTTCAAGTTTATCAGACTGTTGATAAAGATTTTTTTTTAAATTTTTAGTCTATATTAGAATTTGAGGAGATTAAAATGTTATCCGAGGAGTTTGAACTAAAAGAAAGAAAATAAGAAGAGAAGTTTAATGATCTTTCCGATAAAAAAACCCTGGAACAATAGAAAAAATGACAACATAATAAGACGAATATCTAATAGAAACTAAAAGTTAAACTTTTTTGAAATGTCATTGTTAATAATCAGATTAAGTTAAAACTAAAATATATTAGTTTCCTGGTCAAATGAATCTTACCAATCGTTGGGACTTGAGATTAATCGACGATCACTTCATTCATCAACATTTGGACTTTAGCGATAGCTTCAATTTGAAAAACTAAGATTTTTTTAGGTAGAAGACTTTAATGTACCACGAAAATGACCTAGTGGAAGTGAATTACAAGTTTAGTGATATTAATTTATTTTTTAAAAGTTTTACGGTCAAAGTGAAAGAATCTTAAAAGTTCAGTGACTACCAGTGTAGTTTATTCTTTTAATAATTAAAAATACTTAAATAAAAGTAGTGTAAAATAACTTAACCCAGAAAGGACAGGTAGATACAAATCTGGATCGTGCCCTAAGAGAAGCCCATAAAAAATTCACTTGAATTCTTCAAATCTTTTTTGCCTTCAGGTAATCTTCGTACTGATTGCTTTGTTTTTCTTAAACCCTCCGTTACTTGAATTTTATTACAAATGTATTAGAAATGGGTCTGGTAGATTATGAACAGATATTGGATTTGATTGGGGTTAATCGTTGATTGCTTGTTAATTTGAACTGGAATTTGTGATTATGCCAAAGCATCTTTAGGAACTGTTGTTGATGTAGCCGAAGCAGTTACGTAGGGTTCAAGATTTAATAATTTGTTTTTTATGTCACCAACAGAAGTCACTTTACATTGATTGCAGTATTATCACTATTGCATAACCATGTCAAGGAGGCCGCTAAATCCTGCTCGACGCTTTGCTGATGGTGGAAGCATCCCATTCATTGGCTCAGTACAATCTAAAACACGCTCATCGCCATTACTATCTATTGGGCTTTTGGTTGTGGTAACTTGAACTTCCATCGCGCCTTTTTATAATCTTTGTTTTCTTGGTTCTTGTCACTTGTGTTAGAATGTTACTATCAAAGATGGTATTCTTTGTATTAGAAAGCTTGCGGCTGGTGCCAGAATTATTGTCTTGTTCATCTCCGTTGGCTTCTTAATAGAAAGCTTTTAGTTATACTCTAAAAATTGCAAGAAAAGGATTAACTCAGTTCTTGAAATTTCAGGGTGCAATTCTTCTGATTGGCTATTTGCATAGTGGTTCAGGTTTCTTTATTCTATCCTTTTTAAACTTCTCTTTCTTAGATGCGATTGTTTAAGTTGATAAGGTTCATGAAGCAATCTGTGTTCAGTTGTATCCGCCAGTGTAAAAGAGGAATCAAGTATAGTTGAAGGTAAATGCTTGTTACACCTTGTTATAGTCATTCCCTAGTTCTGAATAATATGGATATGAATGTGTGTTGTCGATCTATGATGCTGCAGTTTGGTTTTGTAAGAGTGACATTTATTACAAAATGATCTTCTGCTAGTGTTGTATATTACAAAATGATCTGTAAATGGGATTTTCAATACTGTAATGCCCCCTAAATGCAGTTCCTTAATTTTAGAAATTTATTGATCATCTACAGTTCTATAACTCTTTAGGATAAGTTTATTGTTACATGCATGTTTCTTTCATTCGCAACTTTAAATGGTAGAATGAAATAATAAATTTACTCTCGAGGATTCGAGGTTGCAACTGTTCAATTGATTCTCTGCCTTTCCTGTTAGCTGGGGTGTCCAGTCCCCAAAAAGAAAGGATGGGAAGTTCATACCGAGAGTTTTGATGTATATGCAGGTGGTTCCTCATGCACATTTGAAGTTCAGAGAGCGCTACCTGTTTTAAAGAAGGCTTATGGTGACAGCATGCATAAAGTACTTCATGTTGGCCCGGATACTTGTTCAGTGGTGTCCAGGTTATTAAAGGAGGATGATACTCAGGCCTGGGGCGTGGAGCCATACGAATTAGATGATGTTGATGCCAGCTGCAAAAGTCTTGTGCAGAAAGGCATTGTGCGTGTGGCAGATATCAAGTATCCTCTTCCATACCGTGCTAAATCCTTTTCCCTAGTCATTGTGTCAGATGCCTTGGATTACTTGTCTCCTAGGTACCTTAATAAAACTCTTCCAGAACTGGCGAGGGTATCAGCTGATGGTGTTATTATATTTTCTGGTAACTTCCTCATTGTGTTTTATATGTTTGAAATAAGATTAACATTTTCTTTTGAATATGTGTGCATTTATTAAAAGAGAACTGTAACCTAAACTTGATTTGACATGGGGGATAGAGCCTTCTTTAGCTACTTTTTGTGATGAATTGTTAACTGGACTCACATTGCTACTTTCGAATATGCATTCTTGCATGCACTTTTTTTCATTATGTCTCATTGGTATATAGTTCAGGTCCTGTAGTTTCTTGCTGATGTATGATTCCATGAGCAGGTTATCCAGGTAGGCAGAGAGCTAAGGTTACAGAACTATCCAAATTTGGTCGTCCTGTGAGTATTTTCGTAACATTTAGGTTTCTTATTTTCCTCTGTTTTTAGTAGTTGCAAGTTTGATTTGTGTGCTTTTGGCACGTTTAGAAAGCACTATTTGTGGTAATTCCCGAAAAAATTCCTCGCTGTCATGTATATAAGCTCCTACTATAATAGATTGATCACATATATTGAAGAAGGGCCTGACATTATGAAATGTTTTTTTTCCTCATTTTTTTTGTGAAGGCCAAATTACGGAGTTCGACTTGGTGGATAAGATATTTTATTCAGACTAAACTAGAAGAGAATGAAGCCGCCGCAAAGAAGTTTGAACAAGCTTCAAGCAAGAGGTCATATAAGCCAGCTTGTCAAGTTTTCCACCTAAAATCGTTGCATTAAAGAATCCCGGCATCAGGCCCAGATGTTAACCAATCAAGTCGGGCTCATCGGTAAACAGCGTTCATATGACGTCCTCTTTTTACTCGAACGGTAAACAGTGTTGCGATTAACAAACCCTTTTGTAATCAGCTATTTCGCTTGACGTTTTTAATGGTGAAGTAATTACTTCAAGTGTTGTGCAATCATGTATTATTTCATCTTCCCAGCCTTCTTTTTTGTTTTCCAGTGTTGGTTTATGTTTTCTATCTGGGTTTTCTATTTTTTCTTCAAATGTTCGTTTTTGACCAGGCATTGTTAATCTTTCAAATATACCCAAAAAGGGGGGGGGGATCAAATATATCCGTATAAGACGTGATGCTGTGTCTTGTAATTTCAAATGATATTTTCTTGCTTTACAATTGTATGTAAACACATGTTTTTGCTTTACAATTCTGTCTTATAATATAATTATCACAAATTTAAAAAGAAGTCGCTTTAAATTATTAAATTGGTGAAACGATTAAAAACAATCAAATAATGCTATAGAAGCCAAATGTATCAAAAAAATATAATGCAGTGTCTTTTCATATAATTTGACCAAAAAGTAGTTAATACTTGAGCAAATTTATAAAGTGTTCAAGGGCTAACAATTGACGCCATGGCAACAACAATCAATACTTTATTTGATAATACAAAATTACATTATATAATTTGATTAAAGATAATCAATATTTAAATTTTGTGGAGATTAAAATCTTCAGCTGTGCTACTCCGCAACCGGCAGCACCCCACGGTCCATCCCCAAATAGGAGGTATTTTGGGGTTAAGCGATGGCCATGGTCCATCCCAGCTTGTCCTCGATACCACCAGTTTGAATCCCTGTTAGAGTTGCATGCAATTTCTGAGCCACTGTTTCTGCCCCCAATTTGTATTCAATCCTGCATTTATATGATCAACAAGAAAAACAGATATTAGAATTAAAAACTAAATGTTTAACCGAAACATTTGCAGGCAATCATCATTTTGACAGATATTGACCAAATAAATGGTGCTAAAATTCATCCTTTACCTTTTACCCTGGTAGGTTATACTTGCAACAGACTTCACAACCATAGCTGTCCCTGTGCAGAAGACTTCTTCAGCATCGAGCGCCTCCTCTAGCGGAACAACTCGTTCCTCGACCTGCCAACCAGAGAGTTAATAGGCATACGAATATATAAGAAAACAGCTTTTTATGAAGTTGAACTGGGGCAAAGTTTGATAGTAATTACTGATCAGTTACCTGGTATCCAAAACCTGAAGCAAGTTCCATGATGCTTTTTCTTGTGATTCCTGGGAGAATTGTCCCATCAGCTATTGGAGTTGAGATGACATTTCCCTGCATTTCAGCACACATATGATTGAGTATATGTTCTTCAAGATTCGTTCTACAAATTAGTCCGATTCCCATCGGTTTTACCTTGAGAAAGAAGATATTACAAGCAGAACCTTCCTCGATGTTGCTTCCAGTCAATGCATCCAGAAACAAGACATCTGAGAACCCTTTAGCTCTTGCTTGAGTTAATGGCTTGTAAACCTGCATTGATATTCAAAATATGGTCAAGAATACCATGTAAAATATAGATGCAGAAAAGGAAATTATACAGCAAAAACGAGTTGTTACAGGTGAATAATTCGTGACAGCTTTAACGCCTCCTGTACCACCAGGAGTAGCTCTATGGACTTTGTCTTCAACCATCAAGTTCAGTTCAGCCTTTAAAAATGAAACCACTATACTTAACATCCTGATTTCATTTCATATTTGCACACAAAAGAAAAGAGAAATTAAACCTATATTAGCAAACGCCCACGGTTTTGGGATCTTACCTTGTTATAACTGCCCACTGGGGAAGCATACACTAAGAATGTGTACTCTGATGCTGGTTTCACTCCCAGATTTTGACCAGTTCCCATAAGCAAAGGCCTAATATATAATGATCCTTTTCGATGCGGTGGTACCTGTATCATACAAATATTACTACACAAATTCTTTGGCAAGAAGGGGTGTAAAGTCTATGTCGAATACCCATCGCTTGTTGGCCAGGACAGTCTTTTTTACTGCGTCTATGAATTGCTCCACGGTTGGCGATGGCATGCACATCCTATCCGCACCGATCTTCATCCTCAGGGCATTCTCTTGAGGCCGGAAGAGGAGAATCCCCTCGTCTTCCTTCCTATACGCCTTTAGTCCCTCGAATAACCCCTGATGCCACCATTTTTATATCCTTGGGTGATTGGCATTGGTTGATTCAAGAGTTTTTTTCATCATACACTTAATCATATCCTACCTAGACTCTTCATATATCCTCAACAAAATATGTTCGATATCTACGATTGATACATAGATCACGTATATAGAAGAACATAAAAATAAATAAACATATTTTTATCAAACACTCATTGTCGAGTTCGAACAAGAAAAGACTAGTGATTATGAGACGTAACCTGGCCATAGTTCAATATTCCAGATGAAGGGCACAACTCAATGTTACCAAAGCGAGCTATGGTTCCTTGGGAAAACTTTCCATCATCTTGAGTGAAATTCATAACGTACATGTAATCAGTCTTAGTTAGAGCAAATTCAAGCTCATCCCAATTCACATTCGCATACTCCGTCTTCTCCTTGCTTTAACAACAAAAGGATATAAGTTCACAAAATCATCAACAACAAAAAAGTAAACCCAAACGACTATGGCAATCAAATTCAACATGGTGAGCTTTTAAATCGATTACACAAACAACAAGGTTGAACATTGAATATCATCATACGAAACATTAAATCTAACGAAACTCAATAGGCAGAAAAAAAGCCGTCACCTTTACATGATTAAAGATTGAAAAAAAAATGTTGAAAAAGGATCTTACCATTCGACCTCGTTTTGTTGAGATAAAGAACCCATTGGGAAATGTTAATTTTCTTCGGGAGAACGAAAGAAGAGGAGAAAGCCAAATTCGTTTTTTGTACACTTGCACCGAAATTAGCGAGTTTGAAGGGTTTATATAGTGGCAAAATAGTGAAAATGAAATATATGCATTAATTTTCATTCGATAAATCAAGTCAAATTAAATATTAGAAATATTAACTAAAGAAAATGAATAATTTATCAAACACAATCTAAATTAAAATAATGTATTTGGATTAGTCCTTTTATTCCTTTCGGCATGCACTAATTGACACCACATTCAAGCTTAGTGTGAAATCATAAAAGAACATTCTCAAAAGCAAGTTAGCAAAATATTATATTGGCCACGATTTTGGCAAAAATAACCATAACACTAATCACTTAATTGAAGCACGATAAATTTAAAAAAGTATTTATTTAAAGAGTTTGAAATAAGATTTGATAAGTTAATAAAGCCTATAAAAAATAAATCATATCAAGTCTTTAATGCTTTTGATGAATAACAACACTTCGTTCACACCGAAAATTTTAAATAAATAATGATATTTTTCATTATTTGATCACCGCATGTTTTATTCAAAATTTTATATATGGGTGATTGTAGACTGAGTTACTTATTTATATATTTTTTAAATGAATAATAAATTAAAAAAAATTATAATTAATAATAATAAAATCCATAAAAAAAGGTAATATAACCACCGAAAGCCTTTCAAAAATCTAACTTAAATTTGAAGTATACAATTTTAAAAATATATATTTTACCGTCTTTTTATCGGAACAACTCTATAATACATAAATTCTCTTCAAAGTTTAAAATGTGTTTTCAGAAATTTTTATTAAACGAGGCCTAAGCTTAATATGTCGAGTGATTTCAATAGTAAAAGAGGATGTTGTTCTCTCTAGAATATCCTAATTCAAGCAATTGTATCTGTAAACAATGCGTATACATTGTTAATACACTAAGAAAATTTTGAATAGATATAATTTATTTCGAATAATCTAGGGTGATTACACACACTCTGCAGACGCAACTGCTCGAACCCATTATTTTTAGGGAGAACAATACTTCTTTTAACCACTAAGATCACTTTATAAATTCTAAACATATACTATCTTAAGACGACACGTACATTGTGATATTAGAAGATATTCCAAAGGAAAATATATTGTTGGAACAATTGAACTTTTAGCTGAGTCAATTGTTGGAAAACAATATTACAAGTATATTAATATATTATATAATTTTATATGATATTTGATTTATTAAATAATATTGTAAATATTAATTATAAATGTGAAAAATAATATGAAGAAATATAAATATATATAGTATATGATTAGAGAGAGTCGTTTAAATTGAAATCAATTAATATCATAACATTACAAATAAATTTAAACAAAAACTCAAACAAATATATTTAATTTGACTCGATTCAAAAATAAATAAATAAAAATTTAAATAATAAAGTAGTACTTGTCAACTTAATTAACTTGAATTTATTCTATTAATCAAATATTTCCTCTATTAATGACATGTATTTTGTTTAAGAATTAACCACCATTAATTTGATGCTTGTGTGTTGAATGATTACTTTATTATCTTTAATACGTTTTCTTGACTAAATACTTGATATAATTAAACACCTTTGGCTTCAATTCATGAAAGTTGATTCAACTTTAAGGAATAAATGCTTAGACTGAACATCACTTCTACCTGTAAATAACTTCAATGGGGAAGTATCTCATGTCAACTTCTATGTTTGTAGACAGTGTGGCCTACCTAGGCCATGGCCCACCCTATGCCCAAAAATAGGGTAAATTACTCATTTAGTCACTCACTTCTTATTTTTTTGTTTTAGTCACTCAACTATTATTTATTTTAAATCATACCTAATGTTTCATTTTGGTTATGATTTGGTCACTCATCCTTAAAAAATTAACGGTGATATTAACATATCATTATAAGATAACGCCACATCAAGATTGAAAAATAATTTAAAAAATGTCATGTTAGCATCATCGTTAACATCTTAACGACATTTGACCAAAACAGAAGTAAAATGTAACCTTAGGTATGATTTAAAAAAAAATAGTTGAATGACCAAATAGATGGTTTACCCTAAATAAAAATGTGTATAAATTATGTTAAGAAAATTATACTGTTCCAATTAATATTTTTTTTCTAGATTTAATTCATATATATACATAAATTAAATTTTTTGTTATGTTTTGTTTGTAGATATTTATAACCCATATTCAATAAATATAAACTTATAGACCCAAATCTTAAAAAAAATATTGGATAACTAAAATTAATTATAAATTTAATTTAATTCAAATATTTATAATTTTTAAATTTATGAATTATAAATCATCCAAACAATTTGATTCAGATCTATTTTTGTTATTAGCCCTAATCGTTAGTAGTAGTACTACTTTCACTTGTGGTGTTGGTTAAGTATGGTAATTAGCACCCTAAACAAATTACCTAACCACATTTATTGGTAGCAATATCTCATTGGGTGGGTGTCTCTGAGAGAATTAATAGCTTTGATTACGAAAAGAGGTTAGCTCATGCAACGCCGAAGTTATAAAAAATGTTGTTTTTTTTAGAATTCGAGTTCGAATAATTGTATTTGTAGGGTGTACATTATCAATGAGTTAATTTTTTTAATAGATACTAATTTATAATCACCTCAGATTATTTGAACAAAAATATTGGAAAAATAGACTGCAAAATCACACCGTTAACACTGACTGAAAAAATAATAATAATTCAAAAGTTGAAATCATAAACTGTATCATGGTAAAAACCATAGACTTATAAATGAATTTGCCCTGATGTGTGTAATCGCTCCAATAGGCGAATCGTCCCCCGAGGTCTCCAAATTCCGTACAACCAAAACCATATTGGACTGCTGGCGGTATTACAATTCTGATCGGAAAGTATAAAGAGAACAATTTTAGAAACACTAAGAGAGTGAATAGTGAGTTGTAGAGTAAGTTGAGAAGCTGAATTCAACTCTCTATTTATAGGCTAAAAATAGGGGTATAATCATCTGACAAAAAATTAGATTAATATATGATTTTAATTTTGGAATTAAACCTTATTATAACTGCTAAAACGTCCTAATGAATCTTACTCAAAAATAATCCAGGTTCATTGCATCAATAATCAGTTGTTATAACTAATGAAATTAAATCATGTAACTCCTGATATTAACAGATTGTCAAATAACTATTAAATTTACTTAATTTCAGACAGCTAATTAATCGGTCCTCAACCGCCTATAAATATCAGATGAAATCTTTCACATTTTCATTTGTTCTTTCAGAGAGAAAATCTACACGAATTTTCTCTAAAAAGATAGTATCCGTATGAACGTGTCGAAGACACATATTACCATTATCACTATTATTACCATTACCATTACCATTATCACGACTACTAGTTTAGATGAGACGGATGGCGGCGTGCGAGAGTTCCCTTGTTCTCTATCACTCAAAAAATGAGTGGAGAATGTAAACATTAAATACCCATCATCAATAGTGTTTCTAACTCTATATGGTTGAGCATTACCAACAAAAAAATATTTTCTCCCTCTACATATATAAGATTGAGCATTACCAACAAAAAGTTATTCTCTCCCTCTACATATATGGGGATTGTCTTTCATAAAAATCTTGTGCATGATGCACAACGCATGATGTGGGTTTAATGAATAGTTTAAGAGGTTTAATGAAAAATACGTTTTTTTATAAAGTTTTGAAAGTTCTATAAACAAGCTTTTAACAAATGAAATGATGGGCTTTTCTTTATTTGCATAAACCTTTAAGACAAAACTTTTAATGATGTGCAGTTTGAATCATTCATTATAATCATGCTAATAAGTGGCTCAATAGTAGTTCTATTTGATCATGCGTTAAATTTAAGTACGGGCGTAAATAAATAAAATGTTTGATGAACTGTTCGTGTTTGTTTATGTTCATGAATAAATTTGTTTAAAAATTCGTTTATTTACTTTTTTATCAACTCATTTATAAGCTTGTTGACCCGGTTCTCTTTTTCTATTTATTTTTTACATTTTAAATATTGACGATGCTAGGGATAAAATTGAACACATGAAGAATTTAGAGTTTAAATTGTGAAGCTTAATGAATTTTAGGACTAGTGGCATAATTTCATCTTTTTTCTAAACATATGAACGAAATGTTGACAAACATATAACGAACCAAACACAAACACCTTAAAAAATAAACAAACATACACGAACATGAACCAAACATTAATATCTTCAAACAATGGTTGATCTATAAATTTAAAAATAAGAGTACACAATTTTAATATATTTTTTTATAAAATGAGTATGCTAATTTTTTTTTATTTTATGAATAGGTTGTGGGTTGATGAAGCGTTCGATATGGGAGGGAATTAACGTATTGTATATTTACGAGTTTGGATGGCCCGTAGTGTACCCATCCTTAACCACAATCTTGTTGCGGTTTTAGAAGATCTCTTTGGGCCAAAATTCAATTAACGCTTCCGTGGGTGGCTTTCAACCTTTTAAAAGCAATGCTCATTTTCTCGTATTATTCATGTTTAATTCATTTAGCATTCATGAATACACAATTCGTTTATATGTTCTCGTACATATTCGTTGAGTACTTGTGAGTGAACATGATACATCATATGTTCGGAAATTGTAAAATTACACCTCAAATCCTTAAGCCCCTTAAGCTTAACAGTTTGAACTCTAAAGTTTACCTTGTGTTCAATTTAATCCTTACCTTCACAATATTTAAAATGTAAAAAATAAATAAAAGGAAAAAAAAGAAAAGTAGTTTATAAACTTCCTTGAGTAACTAAAAATAATTAATTTGATTCAATTGAATACGTCAAATGTTGACTCCTTCTAAGGGGACATTACAAAGGTTGAAGTGAAACAAAGGACAAACGAAAACGTTTACCTGTAAAAGTTTTCACAATCCTCATTTCATGCATCAAACAGCGGCATCACATGATTGATTCTCTAATTACATATAGTCAAGAGTAACTTTATTGATCTTATTTTTATAAGAAATATTTAAAAAAAAATAAACCTTGAATATTGTATACAATCAAAAGCAGAATTCAGTGTATCTCTCTCCCTAAATCAATGTCAAAACACGACCCCTGAAGAAGCATTCTAGTCTCTGCTCCTCATCACATGCTCTACTAATTGCATATTCATCTTTATTATATGCACTGATAGTGATATTTTATTAAAATATAGCAACTGCAATTGCCAAACACCACTTGTTTACGTGTGGTGGAGACTTCATTCCGTGAGATGCCGTCTGTCTAAATTAATCACCATGTTATATATATTTATAATATTGTGGACAAAAATAAATTTTTATGTTAGGGAAATAAATTTTTAAAATTTTAAAAGGAGACAAATTAACTTTTAAAATTCTAAATGAAAATATATTATATATAAAAATTATTTAAAATATATAATAATTTAAAATTTTCAAAAAAAGATGATTGCTCCACGTACGTCTCTCTCTGTGTATCCCTATATAACGTCCTTTTTCAATAAAATGCTACGATAAAATGAATATAGTTCTTGAGCAATTTCCGCAATTTAAGTATGGAAATGGAACAATGAGATATATAGTAATTTGAGTTCACATGATTACGTTACTGTTAGAAGAGTGCATGTTGACGAAGGGAGCTGAGATTTTCGACCAACTATCACGCATGTGACATGTAATATACGCATAGATGAATCGAGGAGTTGGAAGTATGTAATTATAGTTTCAAAATTTTCAAATCTTCATATGATTTATATATATTTTTGTCGATAATTCAATTTCATATACTTTTGACATTTTATAATTTTATACTTTTAAATTTTTATATATAACTTTTTAAATTCACACTTTTAACGTACAATTATTTATCCGTCCTTATCTATGGGAACATATCATTGTTAAAATTTTAAGGGCAACTCGGTAAAAGGGTAAACTTATGAAGGGAATTTAAGGCTTAATATATTTAAAATGATAAAAATTTGAAAATATTAAATAAATTACATAAATATATATTTTTTTGTTTGTCCTCCAAGTTTCAAGAATTCGTTTTTATTAATACGGATCGACTCGCGTTGCACACGTAGTTTTGGTGGGTAATTTTCCATCAGGGATTTCTACATACATAAGGACTTGAACTCAAAAGTTTGTTTAAGCGATATCAAGCTACTTATCACTTGAACCAACTATTGTTGGTAATAAATATATTTCAATTTGACAAGCGATATCAAGCTACTTATCACTTGAACCAACTATTGTTGGTAATAAATATATTTCAATTACTATAAATTGTAAAATTTATAAAAAAAAATCAAAATTTAAAAGAGAGACAAAATAACATACATAAGTTCAATAAATATGTTATTTTTCAGTTAGTTGGTTCAATTTGACAAAAAAAAATTAAAAATTCGAATGTTAAAAACGATGATTTTTTTTAAAAAAATTAAAATAACTTTTAAGAAAAAAAAGGATTAAAAAATATCATTAGATTAAATCGATATCATAAATGAACAGTGACTGTATTTTGATCATTAAAATTGTTCTCACTGAAATTAAAATTTTAAGATTAATAAGTAGATTGAAAAGAAAGCATAGATGTATATGTTTAGGTTTTGCTTGTAAATTGCAGCTCTTTTCACATAAAAAAAAATTGCAACTCTTTTTGAAGCCCACAAAATGTTAATTGTTGTTATACAATGCATGTGAATTCTAATGCATATTTTATTCTTAAAAAAATATGTTTAGTTGCTTCTCTCGTACATTTTTGCTCTACTCTTGGAAGTATTTATAAAGAAATTTCCTTTTATTTTTGTTTTTAATTTCTTAACTTCCCTTTCAGCCATTTCTTCCTTGAGCTATTGCCTATATAAACCCTAAACCATAAGTCATCATACACAAGAAAAACTAGTGACAATGTGGTTCATCAAGCTTCTCTTAGCTATATGCTTCATGACCCTATGTCTATTTCACTCGTCCCGAGCTCAAAATTCTCCTCGAGACTTTGTGAGTGCTCATAACGTGATTCGTGCCACCGTCGGGGTCGGTCCGCTAGTTTGGAACCACACCTTGGCTTCCTATGCTCAGAATTATGCCGATGAAAGGATAGGTGACTGCAAATTGGAACATTCCTATGGACCATACGGTGAAAACCTTGCTGAAGGCTATGGCAACCTTGATGGCGCCGACGCAGTGAAAATGTGGGCTAGCGAGAAGCCTGACTACGACCACGGTTCCAACCGGTGCAAGAGTGGTGGTGACGACTGCCTGCACTATACTCAAGTTGTTTGGAGCAAGTCGGTTCACCTCGGGTGCGCCAGATCCCAGTGTGCAAACGGATGGATTTTCGTTATTTGCAGTTATGATCCTGTTGGAAACGTTGAGGGTGAACGTCCTTATTAATATATATATATATATATAAATTGTTGTGTTATTCCTTGTAAGTTAGTTGTTTCGAATCACCTGTCACATGGGATTCAATATAATTTTATGTTTGTAACACGCACGAGAGAAAAAACCGATAAAATTGGGAGAGATCAGCAATTCACGGGGTCTCTTAGTGGTCTCAATATGTATGATTGATTATATTATTGAATATATAACAATATTGTTATATCCCTTAACAGGTGGAGTTAAAAAATTTATTTTGGATTGTTCAATTTTAAAAATAATATTTTGGGTGTCAAATTTAAAAATTACGAAGTAGATGAAAATGATTAATGGATGTCAATTTATATCTAAGGGTGTTGATATTATTTAAAAAAATTAATTTTATTCTTTTTAAAATATTTTTATATTATTTTTATATTAAAAATATTCCAAAAAAAATAAATGTCACCCCTCCTTATATATTACCTCTGTCAGTGCCCCTGTCAGTGCCCCTTGAGACGTTTTCAAAAATTACCAGTTTTCCATTAATCAATATTTTTAGATAGACTTCTTCACCTATAGAAATCTCCAAGGAGTCCATGACTTATGGAATAAGGAGCATCAATAGTTTAGAATCAATTATTGTACATAGCTGTCCATAATTGTCTTATGTCTAATACCACTAATTAAGATCACTATAAAATATCTCTCTACCACGACTGATTGAATGATTTTCTTCTTCTTCTTCTTCTTCTCAACAACCCTCCTAATTTTGGCTTCTTGACTTATTTTCTTTATGTCTTCACCTCTGTGAGAGGAAAATGTCAATCAATAAGTGTCCCTGTATCGATTATGATTCTATGTCTCGAAAGGGGTGAATCGCTCCTATCAACAAACAAGGACGAAACTACATGGGAGGTGGGAGGGGCAAATGCCCCCCTCACCCACCACTTTAATAGTTTAATTGAGTTTAGGTCACTAATATTTTTAAAATCATTACAATTAAGTCATTGTCCTCCCAAATTTATTGGTTTAATTATATTTTAGGACCCTTTAAGTTTTAAAATGAAATATTGATTTCTATTTTTTGTTTAATTACTCTTTAAGATCCTTCAATTTTAAAATTAATAAAATTAAACCATAACTCCTTTTAATTTTTATGGTTTGTTCAATTTTAGAGGTCCTATTTATTTTAAAGTTAAACAACTTGTCCCTCGTAGTTCAATCTTGGCTCCGTCCCTGTCAACAAACATAATATTGAGTTTGATTGGTAAAGGAGACATGAACCCTAGTTATCTGTTCATGGAAAGAAAAGCACAAAATATCTGGTAAAGGAGACATGAAACATAGTCATCTGTTCATGGTTTGTGTAAAAGGAGATGTCAAATTTGATTTTAAGTTGGGACGTTTTAGAAGACAAACATGGTTGCTATTAATTAGATAAATGTATCTCCGGTCAAAGTAGAACTTTCTGAGATAAAGCTCAAGGAAACAAGGTAAGAATGAAAATGTTAGCTTGGATCCCCATTTCATGCATTAAACTGCGCAACGCACGTTAAATTCTGTATTTACCTTCAAGTCAAAAAGTAAAACTTCACTTTGAAATTTGAATCATCATTTAAAAATTGCAATTCACAGTTTCATTGTCAAGAGATAGGGAAAATGAGAAACAAATTTCCAGTAAATGTTTGCCTTATAGCTTTGACTGTTGCTCATGTTTCCGTTGCACAGAACTCACCTCAAGACCACCTTAGAGTCCCTAATGCAGCTCCTGCACAGGTCGAGGCTGAACAGATGACATGGGACATCACCGTTGCAGCCTATGCCTAGACTGGCATAGAAGCAGTGGAGTTGTGGGTCAACCAGAAGCCTCACTACGACTATGCCGCAATGAATGTATCGGTGGAGAGTGTTTGCATTATACTCAAGTGGTTGACATCAGGGTAGTGTTAATCTTCCGTCCTCGGGCGCCATTAACTTTTGGGTGTCAGAAAGGCCGAGGTATAACACACCTGTGTTGGTGGGGAGTTCAGGGGTTACACTCTCGGCCACAGGGTCGGACAGTCACCTTTTTATGACTTAAATATTAACCATCAAATTACCATTTATTCATCATCTATCCATGCTTACGCATACTGTAATTTTTATCACAATGCTTCACTTTAAGGTCAAAATCTAATACAAGAACCACTCTAGTAGGAAACTTCAATTTCAAAGAGATGACTCCCCAAGTGATTTGAGATCTGCAGACTACATGATAGTTCAGAAATTTCTACATTACTACTTGAACTAATTCTTGGTTTTTCAAGAAAGCTCAACTATCCTTGCCCGCTTCTTTGATCTACTCTTTCCTGCTGCTTCACTAACATCATTGTCTTTGCCCGTATCGGATTTTCCCCTAGGGCAGGATGTTTCATTATCATTGTTGCCATCATCGTCACTCTCCTCATTATCATCACTGCTATCATCTGATTCTGTTCCACTACTACTACCACCACCACCAGATACTGTAATCACCGGCTGATTACCAGCAATTGCAGATTCAGCAGCAGCCAGAGCCTCAGGCGTGTGAAGATCAGCTACACCTAACATCAAATCCTGTTTCACGATATGCAAAACCAAAACTTATTAACAAACTCCTAGACCATTCGATTTGCACAATTAGAGAGAGAGTTCAGTTTTAGTGTTACCATTTCAATGACTTCAGAGTCATTCCCATTGAGTACTTCAATATCATATGCTTGAGAATTATTCTACATTATGATGAACAAGAACATATGTTAGAAATTAAAAGAGCATTCACCGATGATCAAAATTTGAAAACGAACCTTTGTTTCAAGTTCCAGCCTTTTATTAGCTTCAGCCATGACTCCCAAGAAATCTTGCACTTTTCCCAAAACTGCAATACTCAAAAAGAAAGATTTCAGCACTCAGCAGTAGCTTATAGTACCCCATGACTGGAACTCCGATAAATCAGTAGATCAGGTACAGAGGAACTTATAAAATTTTAAGGGAAAAAACATATTATCAATATAAAACACAAAGAAAATCCCTAAATTATATGAGAATTCCCCTTCAGTCCATCCCTGGTGCATGCAACCAAAAAGCCAAAGTATATGCCTATATTTATAATTCTCAAGGCTCAAACAAAGATCATAATTCCAACCCCAAATTACAAACTATCAGTTTTAAATTTCTTTATTCGGCATAGATAATAGTATTACATTCCCCAAATTGCATATTATCAAATTCTATTATTATGCTTTTTAAAAGCTTAAAATATATACTGGGGACGATTTACCTTGACTTTTAGGAATCTGGGTAATGGCTGGTTTCTTGGCAGCATCAATTTGAGAGGTCGAGTCCTTTTCCTTACAAACAAGAAGTGCAGATTCTGTCGCACAAACACCAAATATATGAATTTTCAATGAACAGGAAATAAAGTAAAAAATTATCTAGTACACAACAAGAAAAAGAATAGTTACCAAGGGGTGAAGAAGAGCAACCCTTGTGCTCAATCCGCAGAAGATCTTTGCTTGAACTTCCCATTTCTCTGTTCAGTCAAGGGGAGGGCTGCAAATCAATCTTCAAGTTTAGGAATAAAAAACTTAACTTCTAATTTTTGGTCTGAAAGAAACTTGAAGGCAAGAAAAGGTTTGGGTCAGGGACTGCAGAAGGAGGAAGACGACGGTGGCGGCGGAATGTGTTTAAATAGCACCCAATTCGTAGGGCTTTTATTTTTCCAAAACTATTTAATATAAAAAATTAATTTTAAATTGATAATTTTGTGTTCAAATAGCAGGGTAAATTTCTATTTCGGTACTTATATTTGGCTTTGATACTTAATTTGGTAACTGAGATATTTTTCAATTAGGAATATAGATTTTACTTTTAGGTTTAATTTGATAATTTATTTTTTTCAATTAGGTACTTCAACTTAATTTTTAGTTCAAATCGATATTTATAATATAATGATTTATTTAAACCATTAAGTTAAATTTAAATACTAATTTAAATAAAAAAATTGATTTAAACATCTAATTAAAAAATTAAATCTTAAAACTAATATTAATTTTTTTTATTAATTTGAGGTGATTACAATATAGTATTTGTTCGAAAAATTCTTATCTATCTAATAATGAACGCTCGTACACCCTTGTAGATATCATACTCAAATCTAATATCAATATTTTTTTACTTTAAATGTATTTATATTTTTTTTGAATTAATCTAGAGTGATTACAAGATAATATATGTGTTCTAAAGATTCACGATTATTTGACAATGAAAGCTCAAATACCCATAAAAACCAATTGGGACTCTTTATTCACAAAGACAGTTTTGAAAATGTATTTTGTTTGATTAAAGAACCATATTTATTACCTATTAGTAAATGTTTTTCTTCAACAAAACTAAGAAAAATCAAAGATGACACGGTTTAAGGTCTATATTACATATTAATATTTGTTCAGAATTATTTTTACCTATTGGTAACATGCACCCATCTATTAATATAATTGTTTGTACCCATTATCTCTAGAGATAATAACATTTTCTTTTACCATTACAATCATTTGATAAACTTACAGTGATGCATATATACTTTTTAAATAAGATCGATTACCAATAAGATGAAATTATTTATATGGACAATAAAAATTAAGTTTTTAATAGTTTAAGCTGTCCAAATTTTTTATGATTAGATATAATTTTGTATAGTTTTTTTGCTAAAAGAAATTATTTACTTGTTTATAAATATATCTGGAAGTAACTTAGTAAACGGTAAAAATATCTTACTGCCTAGAAAGTTTAACAAGCGGCAGCTTAGTTTAAAGTTAAAAAATGATGATTTTAGGGTACATCGAAAATGTGATAAAAAATTATAATATTTTAGGTTGGTTTTAACTTAAAATGTTACATTTTTCAATTATATTATATAATAAACTTGACATTTCATAATCATGATTTCTGTAATTAATTAGAGTCCTTTTGTAGGTTCAAATTGATGTAAAATAAATTACTTCATCTTGTTTAATTGTTTTATATAATTATTCAATATTTAACCATCTATTAATATACCTTATGTATCTTATAGTTATCAGGATTCGACAGGGAAAATAATTTACCACTCAAGAACAAACTGAGTCTAAGACCCTAAAATACTTGGAAATAATCAGCAGAAACTTTTTCAATGTGATTTTGATTTTGATTATCTGTTTATTCCACACAAAGCAATCAATTAAATATTAGAAAATTCCTCCAAATCCTCGAAGAACAAATCTAGAGGATCAAGAACATAATTATTCTGAAGGTTTGAATTGCATCCTCCTCCAGATCCATGAGGACCAGGCTTGTCGATTCCCTAAGAATTTGGGTTGTATCCTTCAACAGGATAGATATTGCGTCCTTCTGGAGGATTATCATTGTATTCTTGTGCAGACCCGACATTGTTCACTTCCAAAGGATCAATGATGTATTCTTCTACAGGATCGGCATCGTCGTCATCTGTAGGATTCACAGGATCGATATTGTATTCTTCTGCGATATTTGCATTGTATCCTTCGAAAGGATTGAGACTGTACCCTGGAGTTGGAACTATCATATTGGGAACAACGTATCTCCCGTCAATCATATTTACATCAAACGCCACCCCCTTCGCCCGATGAATCCCCAATGTAAAAATGTTGGGGATTCGAACTCAGAACAGCCACCTTCTGCTCTTCCACATTCTTCTTCAACCTCTCCAAGGCTGATTTTAGTTCAAGGAGCTGTGACGTGTCAAGTTGTTCAATCTTTGGCTGCTGGAATTCGCTCGTCAACACGTTAATCTCTTCACAAATCACTCATGAACAATACAAATATAACCTCGTTTTTGATAAAATAAATCCAACAATGAAGATATATAATCAAACCTCTGTAAGCTACATGTTCAGCTGACGGATATTATCCTTACGGAGAGCGTCGACGAGCAACGACGTTCCCGAAGTATCTGGCGGGTTGCGATTGAGATATCGATCGATGACAGTGTCAACCGTGGGGTTGCCAAATGAAAACGCCTTTTGGGACGGCGAGAAGATAACAATGGCGAGCTCAGCACCACGAAGGGTGCTGATTTCACTCGCCTTTTTTAACAGACCAGCCTTAAGCTTCGAGAAGGAGACTAGGAGATGGGTTTCGTTCGTCATCTTCTTCATTTCATCTCTTTGTCGGCCTAGAGTCTTCTTCTCCATGTCTGAAAGCACCTAAAGAGTAAAAACCAATAGAGTTATAGGGTATTCCGTGAATAGGATATGTGATTAACCTGATGAAAATGTTAAAGTATTTATAAAGAGATTAACAAATAAGTTTAAAACACTTGTAGCTGTACATATTTATTATGCTTAAGGTTTTATTTAGTGTATACTTTTGTTTGAATTTAATTAGTTGCTAGTTTTAAACATATACAGTGAAAACATTAAAAATGTCATATCTACCTGCCAACTCTAATTGGTGCGTTTATGTCTAAGATTATTTTAGAATATTTATTTAATTACCAGGAGTAATGTTTTAATTCAATCATAATAATCTGTATATTCTACTTTTTATTCATAGTAATCTGTATGTTGTATGCTGACATGATCTTGAATCAGTATGAAATTCAGATAATGTAGAAATAAAGGGAGAAGGAAAATATTCGAATGAATTGATTAAATTTAGTTTAGGGTTTACATGTTTTTTTTGTCAATACGAGATGATTAAATTTTAACAACTACTCGTGAAATCTAACGCGCCTTTGCTTTCCCTCGCTTCTTCTTATTCTTTTTATTATTAAAACACAAAAAATAAATATTATAGAATGCCTTTTCAATAATAGAAACTATGATATTTTCATTTTATATGTGAAACATGAATCTAAAAAATCACCTTTGGTATAATTTATTTTATACAATAAATTTAATATTCTATAGTTATAGTTTAAGTATTTAATTAGAAATTTGTGTAACAGTACATTGATATAAAACAATTGTTTTATCTTATTTAATTTTAAGATTCTATTAAAATATATTATATTATCTTATAATTATTAGAATATGATATAGATAATAGTTTGTGAACTTATATATCAAGAACAAACTAAATCCCAAACTTATACAGAAATAATCGGTAGAATTCTTTGTTTATTCCACATAAAGCAACCAATTAATTAGAAGACTCCATCTCCAAATCCTTGAAGAACTTCTGGATCAAGAATATCGTTTTTCTGACGGTTGGAATTGCATTCTCCTTGATCCAGGAGTGTAACAACCCGAAGAAAAAAAAAACAATTTAAATCGGTGTAATTTGGATAAATTTGGGGATTAAATTAAAAGTTTTCAAAACTTATACACAATATTAGAAGTGAAGGAAATTCAGGGACCAAGATCTGAATTACTCCTTTTAGTGTCGGCAGGAAATTTGATATATACGTATGTATGGTTTTCTGTTTTCAAAACAGAAAACAATTGTGAAATTCCTCCTCCCGCACTCTACTTCAAAGCCTGATTCCAACGTCGTCCGACCTCCGACCGTCAAATTGAAACCACCATCGTGTTCATCTTCGACCCGTGAACAAAACCCAGTAAATCAATTATAGCGAAACGCTGCCAAACAACGTGAATTTCGAGTCAAAGTCTCGACGTTTTTTTAGCACTACCGCCGAGAAAATCTTAAATTCATCTCCGATCGTTGATCGGTTTTCGACACCTCTCGCACCATCGTGTTCCTTGTGCCGTTTCGAGTCCGCCGGTGTCAACCTTGGTCTCCGTCGACGGCGGCGCGTGAGGAGGTGGAGCAGTCAAAGATTCGATCGACTTGAAATCGAACTCTCCGCCGTTCAAAAATTTGAACCGATCTTTGTAAGTATCTCGAAATCGCTCAAAATAATTTTTAGAAAATTTTCCTTAATTTTTAGACCCCCGGAGGAGGCCTCACGTGCCACACGCGCCGCCGCAGGGAGAGTGAGTGGCTGAAAATCGATCTGACCGGTTTCGACCGGTTCGAACCGGTCTCGACCGACCGACCGACCCGACCGTTGACCGTTGACTTCCTTTGACCAAAACTTAAAATGGCTCTGACCGACCATTAAACGACCGTTAATCTTTTCCGAGTATACCTATTCTGATAGTTTTCGACGTCCCGAATCCGTTTCCGAAGTCCGTTTTGTCAAATTCGAACCCAAAGGCCTCCAAATCGATGGTCAAAGTGGTTGACTTTGACTTTGACCAAGAATTTAAATTTTCGAAAAGACATACTTTATGTTTTTCGACGTCCTGATTCCGATTCTGTAATCCGTTTGGCCAAATTCAAACCCGAAATCCTCCAAATTGATAGTCAAACCCTGAAAATGCTTATATACTTAAGAATTTTAGCTTTGAACAATTAAGTAAGATTTGGAGCTGATAAATTATTATTGTTTGAAGGTACAAGAGACTCTCCGAGTCATTCGACAGCTCGACCCAGCTCTTCTAGATCAATTAAACCACGTGTGCCAGTATTCACCCGTAAGACCCGTAAATTTTATGATTTTAGAGATTTATTTATGTTACCCATAAGTAATATAGTGTTATTATAAAATAGGTTTGAAAACTGTAGCAGAGCATGGTGAAACCAGCAATCAGTAGATCTACTATTTGAACCTATTATCGAGGTGTGTTCCCTAATTATTACTGAACTGTTTTATTGGTTTTAATATGAGGTACACTGAGTTATTTGGTTACTGTTTTATTGATGCACCAATTTAATGTGATGATTTATGGAATTTGTGTCACGATGCAATTGAACTTTTGGATTGAATTACAATAGTATAGCTCTGATCAAGCTAATAAATAGAATGAGCCTAATGTGACTCTTGGGGCCCCAAGATACATTAGGTTGGCTTCCCTTGCTGTGTGCTTAGGGTAAGCTATATGGACTTGGACTTACGGGCTTAAGGATACAAGCTATAAAGCTTATCCTTAGGTTGGCTTTCTTTTTGCTGTGTGCTTAGAGTAAGTTATATGGAAAATAGTTTTGGAAATTACTGATGGTATACAAGAAAAGAGTTTAAACTATGATTTTCAAAAGTTAAACTCTTTTATGAATTTATGAGATTTACTGGACTATGATTTGTTTAATGTACCTATTGTGATTTTAAGGTAATATTGGGACACACTGAGCCTAGCTCACCTTTCGAAAATATTTTTCCCCCTTTCAGATACTGTTGGTTAGATACATCGGTTCGAGCACTTGGAGGATCAACATATCTCTTGAAGTATATCTGATTGTAATGTTTTATCTTGCTAGTTGACTTTATTTTGGTGACATGGACCTTATTTTAAAGTATCGTATTTTAGGATGATGACACTTTTGCTATTACTGTTCGGTTTATTGTGATTTTGATTTTGAAGACATGTTTTAAATTAATTTATTACTTATTGGTATTATATTTACAAGTTGGGTTTTGATGGTATAATTTATTTCATGACATTTATAATGTGATTTTACATTGATTGAATAACGGTTTCAAAAAATGTCTTTAAGAATCATAATATGATTCACTAGACTTAGTCGAAACGCATAGGCCGAGTCTAGGGGGTTACAAGGAGTATCAAGAATGTTGTGTTTCCATGAGGATTAGCATTGTTTATATACTCCTCCAAATCCATTAGGACCAAACATGTCGATTCCCTGATGATTTGCAATGTGTCCTTCAACAGGATTGATATTCCAACCTTCTGTAGGAATATCACTGGATCCTTGTGCAGACCTGACATGTTGCACTTCCGAAGAATCGACAGGTATTCTTGTGCAAGATTGACAGTGTCTTCATATGTAAGATTCACAGGATTGATATTGTATTCTTCAACAGAATTAGAATTGTATCCTTATAAAGGATTGAGATTGTATCCTGGTGTTGGAACTATATATCGTATTGGGAACAACGTATCCTCCACACATCATATTTGCATCGAACGCCATAATGTTGTAATTAGGATTCACCCCTTCGCCTGATGAATTTCCTATATAAACAGCTGGAAACTCCCATTCAGAAAGAATATCAAGCTTATGCGCTTCCACATTCTTCATCATTGATCTATGTTATTTTAGTTGGGAGAAAATTAGCGCTAAACCAAGTTGTGTTCGAGTCACTTCCTCTATCCCGATAAGTTATCTTAGAGGCTAAAAGTACGGGCGGATTTAAAAACATCTTTTAGGGTGAACATATATATACCAACAACATAAATTTTCGTATAGATTGAACACAAATAAAATTTCAGGGGAGCACTATTAGTAAAATAAATAACTAAGTACAAAAAATTCAGATTTCAGGATGAACATTTTTTTTATTAATTAGGATGGACACTTGCTCACCTTAAAATACATTTGCATTCGCCATGGAGTAAAAGGACTGTCTCGAATGTATTGTTACTTAACTAAATTCGAATTGAACAAGCTCTTAGAACTCCTCTATTATAATTACCATCAACCCCTCCATACTCGTACTTCTCCTACGTACCATCGAACCTAATAGATACCAAACCATTATCAAAATCTTGAAAAGATGACGATGATGTTGGTTATAGGTTTATTTATAGAGTTGGGGTTTAAATTGGGAAAGAGATTAGGAAATTTGGAAATTTAGGTTTGATCTAAATATTTCAGATGAAAGTTAAATTTAATGAGTTATTTTGAATTAGGATTTAATCCATAAAATGTATATAAGTTTTGGGATTTAGCTTTATTATATTAAGTTACGTCACTATTCTCATTAAGTCGTTAGTAAAAATTAACGATTAGTGATTAAAATAGAAACAAAGTATATTGCTAAATATGTTTTAAAAAAAAATTGAGATACAAAAATAAAATCACGAGAATAGATACAATATCAAATAGGTAGTTTATTCAATTTAAAAATAAATAATTTTTTTAGTAAAATAAAAATATGAAGTAAAAAAAAGGAAAAACAACATAAATAAAACCTAATTAGCTATGTTACATTAAAAGAAAAATACCAACTTCTCATAAAGTTTCTTTTTAATGATTCAACTTTGGATTTTTGTGCCCAAAAAAAAATGTGTTATGACTTATGCCTCAATGGGGTTTCAGCAACTGCCAAGAACAGCATACGTGCAATTTAATATGGCGAATTTAAATTTATTTCTAATATTATTTTAGAAATATATATTTTCAAGATATAAAGTTTTTTTTGAATATAAGAATATGCCCGCCCTGAAATTCGGATTTTTTATGTTAGTTGTCCACTTTATTGGAAGGGTCCACCCTGAAATTTTATTTGTGTCCGTCCCATATGAAAATTTTCTATCATTAAAACATATGTACTCACCTTAAAAAAAATTCTAGATACGCCAGTGAAATATAGATAAGAAAGAAATAAATGAAAGAAAAAGAAAGAAAGAAATGTTTGAATGAACATCAAATCTTGTCCTCCAAATCTTTAAAGAACAAATCTAGAAGATCAAGAGTATCATTATTCTGAGGGTTGGAATTGCATCCTCCTCCAGATCCAAGAATATTATTTTCATGAAGATCATTATTGTGTATTCCTCCAAATCCATGAGGACCAGGCATGTCGGTTCCCTCAGGGTTTGTATTTTATCCTTCAACAGGATTGATATAGCGTCCTTCTGTAGGATTATCATTGTATTCTTGTGCAGACCCGACATTGTTCACTTCAAAAGGATCAACAATGTATTCTTCTACCGGATCAAAATTGTCTTCATATGTAGGATTCACAGGATTGATATATAATCCTTCTGTAAGATTATATTGTGCAGACTCGACGTTGTGCACTTCGAAAGGATAAACAATGTATTCTTCTACAAGATCAACATTGTCTTCATTTGTAGGATTCACAGGATCGATATTGTATTCTTCTACAAGATTAACATTGTATCCTTCCAAAGGATTGAGATTATATCCTGGAGTTGGAACAACCTATCTCCCCCCGATCATATCTGCATCGAAAACCATATTGTTGTTATTTGTGTAGTAATCAGGATTCACCCCTTGGCCCGACCAATTCCCAATGTAAAACTGTTGGGGGCTCGCATTCAGAGCAGCCAGCTTCTGCTCTTCAACATCCTTTTGCAACTTCTCCATGGATGATTTTAGTTCAAGGAGTTGTGATAGGTCAAGGTCTTCAATCTTTTGCTGCTGGTTTTCGCTCGACATCACTTTAAGCTCTTTGCCACGTTCCTTTGAAGCTTCTAACTGGATCGTCGCCTGTTACAAGTCACTCATGAACAATACATACATATAATCTCGTTTGATAAAATAAATCCAACAATGAAGAGATATAACCAAACCTGTGTAAGCTCCATGTTGAGCTGACGGATATTAGCTTTACCGTGAGCCTCGACGAGCAACGACGTTCCCGAAGTATCCGGCGGGTTGCAATTGAGATAACGATCAATGACAGTGTCAACCGTGGGGTTGCCAAAAGAAAACGCCTTTTTGGACGGGAAGAAGATAACAGTGGCGAGCTCGGCACCACAAAGGGTGCTCTGATTTCACTCGCCTTTTTGAACAGACCAGCCTTTCGCTTCGAGAAGGAGACTAGGAGATGGGTTTCGTTCTTCATCTTCTTCATTTCAACTCTTTGTCGGCCTAGAGTCTTCTTCTCCATGTCTGAAAGCACCTAAAGAGTAAAAACCAGTAGAGTGATGAGGTATTCTGTGAATAGGATATGTGATTAACCTGATGAAAATATTGAGTCTTTATACAGAGATTGATAAATAAGTTTAAAACACTTTTACCTGTACATATTTATTATGCTTAGGTTTTATTTAGTGTATTCATTTGTTTGAATTTAATTAGTTGCTAGTTTTAAACCTATACAGTAAAAACAATAAAAATGTAATGCTGCCTGTCAATTCTAATTGGTCGTTACAAATTTTAATGAAAGTGTAAATTTTAATTATTCAACTCTGGATTTCAAAAAGTCAGAATTGAGCCATACATGGGAATATCATAATTTCAGCAATAGCCAAGAACAATATATATATATATGTATTTAAAATGGTGAATTTAAATTTATGTCTGAGATTATTTTAGAATATTATATATAATATTTTTATTCGAACATAATAATATGTATATTGTATGTTGAGATATGCTTGAATCTCTGTGAAATCAAGATAATATAGAAATAAAGGGGAAACAAAAGAAAGAAAGAAAATACTCGAATGAATTGATCAAATCTAATCTAGGGTATATGTTATTTTAATAGAGTGAGTGAGTGATTATAAAATATTATATGTTCAGAATTTTCTTAATCGATTAACAATGCACATATACACCGTATACACAACTATTCAAATATGGGTCCTCTAAAGGGGAACAACATTACATTTTACCACTAAAGTCATCCAGTTTCCATGTGTAGATTTTTTAACGGTTGCAATATTTAGTATCCAAAAGTAACCTAATGCTTACAGTTTCAGAGAAATAGTGAACTAATTATTGAAATACGAAGAACCGTTGAAGTTAACTAATTTTTAAAATACTAAAAACCGTCAAAGTTAACTAATTTGTTCCTTCATAATATTTCTTCAACGGTTTCTATTAATTAACAAATTAAAGCCGTACTTGTAGAATCTAGTGCGGCTTCCTTTTATTTTTTTCTTATTAAAACAAAAAAATAAATATTTTCAATAGTGCTTTTTCAACAATAGAAACTATGGAATTGGAAGAGGGGAACTCATTTTTATTTTTTGTGTAAAATATGAATATAAAAAAAATCACATCTGATATAACATATTATAGGAATGGTATTCCAACCTTCTGTAGGATCATCACTACATCCTTGTGCAGACCTGACATTGTACAGTTACGAATAATCGACAATGTATTTCTGTGCAAGATTGACAGTGTCTTCACCTGTAAAATTCACAAGATGGATATTGTATTCTTCAGCAGGATTGATATTGTATCCTGGTGTTGGAACTATTTGTGTTGTACTTGGATGGGATTCATACGATAATTGTACTAGAGGAAAATCCATTGATGATGGAACGTGTATGTAACGAATTAGGTCAAGTTCCACATATATGGTCTCAAGTCAAAATTGAACCATGCATACAACTTTTTTTTTGTCTACTTTAAAGGGCATAATACAAGAAAGAAAAGCTTTATGAATTATGATCAAACAATGGTGATTACTAGAAATGGCTAATGGGCAACCTAGTTGTAGAGACAGGCGTATCAACAGGAAACTACCGGATTTGCAGTGAGAGATCTTTCAACTGTTGGATGTCCACTTTCGATGGAGCTCTAGTGAGGGCACACTGCGCGGTGGTTGTCTTTGGGAAAGCAATGACATCTCTGATAGAACTTGCATCTGCTAACAACATAACCAATCGATCCAAACCATAAGCGATTCCCCCTGCAAAAAATACGAGAAAATAGATAAAATATCAGATGAACTCTTATTCCAGATAGAAAAAAAGTTTGTTTTGTGGCCTAGGCGTGTCATACCATGTGGAGGAGCACCCATGTCTAAAGCTTCCAGAAGATAGCCAAACTTATCTTCAGCCTGTAAATAACATAGAACCAAATTTATTAGGACAATAAGAGAATTTGACAACTCAAACAAAGCAGTATCTTTGCTTTTCTAGGATCTAGAAGCATTCTGGTTCCGTATATGATTTTTAGTTTCTTTTTAGGACAGTATATATAGGATCAGACAATCAAATTGACACGAGCTAGATAACAGAATCATCCACTAACTTGGTTTTCTTGGCCGCAATGATAAAGGCAATAGGCCAATAGCAAGACGTGTAATGGACACGACTTCCCCGGTTACATGGTGCAAACGATATCCATAGATTTATAAATTCTTGAGTAGATTAAGGTTCTTCTCACCTGTTCAGGAGAGATGCCAATTGTTTCCAGTACTTTCTGTTGGACCTCGCGTTTATAAATTCTTAAACTTCCTCCACCAATCTGACAATGCAAGAGGCAATGATGCATTCAATTATAGAACGGTCGACCAAATCTTACCCTTTAAAGTTTATAGAAAGCACATAATATAAATACCTCGACTCCATTGTAAACCATGTCATAAGCTAGGGCACGTGCAGAAGAAAGATCTTCCATATCTTCAGGGTTTGGTGCAGTAAATGGATGATGCAAGGGCTACAATATAAGTAAATTTTCAACAACAGGCAGGTGAAAGCCGTAAATGATGTATACAAAAAAATAAAACTTCCATCCATATATACATATATATTATTATATTAATTTAGCAATCTAAAACTTCCATACAAATTACTTTAACAAGCTAAAGCTTTCACCAAATTACGTGTAAGCACATATGTGAACAAAAAGAAAATAAAGAAATAATCAAATCTAAAATTTGAATATATACTCGTATTTTGATACAACAAAGAAAACTTACAATACCAAGGAAAACTAAATCTAAAACTTCAGCTACTCCCTTAATTCCTCGAAAATGACAGAATCTCACACTGTTAAACTACGATAGGGATGTTACAAGTACAAAGGGAACTATATATCACACAAAAAAGGCAAATTCTTTCAGGAATATATATATATATATATATATATATATATCAATTATTTCAATAAAATTACCAAAAAATAGCAAGAGCATGACACGGACCTCAAATCTTTGCTCTGAATCATTCCACTCGAACATTGGGAAATCAGTCACCCACAAAATTGAATGCTTATACTGCATTTCAGATTTGAAGCAAATGCTTAATTTTAGAAAAGAAAAAAATAATAAGCAACAAATATGTATTTCAGATAGAAGCCTGCTCAGGAACTTACATAGTCAACCAAACCCAGTTCATGGGCCATGAATACCCTAAGTCGATCCAAGGTTCTATTAACCGATGTATGATGACCAACTGCAAACAAGATCAGATCACCTGGTCCTGCAGAGCATTTTCTCAAGAATTCTTCTCTGTTCTCTGGACACAAACTAGATACTAGAGCAGGAATTCCTTCGATCTCCCCTAAAGGAATAATAAAACCATCAGACCAGGTTTACAAATAGCAACTCAACTTTTCAAAGGGGTGCATATGAACTAGATAGAGAATATTACTATTTACCATCATCCAAGACCTTAAGGAAGGGTAAACCCTTTGCTCCAGACTTGATTGCCTCATTATAAACATCACCTTTCTTAAGAGCTGTGTTTGAAAACCTTTTAGCGCATGAAGGCACACATAATGTTTTGATAATTCCCCCATTTTTTAATGTATCTGCAAAGAGCCTGAAGGGAGAGTCTATGAAGACATTAGATACCTACAGCTTCAACAAGAGGCAACAAATTAGCAAATATTAGACAATGTACATCAGCAAAAAGTAGACAGTGTGTGCCAAGTGTAAGAGTGACCAATGATCATTACATTTTTCAACTCAAGATCAAATCTGATATCTGGACGATCAGAACCATAACGATCCATTGCCTCAGCATATGTTAGTCTTGGGAAAGGGTTAGGTAATTGGATGCCATTAATCTCTAGAAAGAGCTGCATCAAATATGAGATTAAAATGATTTGAAATTCTTGTAAATGCATAAAGTACTTCAAATGTTTGATATGGTGAGAGCAATCACCTTCGGTCCTTTATCTACATTCAATTTAAAAAGGCAGAGTGCCAAAAGGTCTTCTGATGAATGCCTTGAGTGTCTACCTAGAAAATCAATTAGCAAACCTAGCTTGATTAACTAGTGGGCCATTGGGCAGTGTAGATGATGCCAAGCCAATTCAAAGGCCCACAAGCTGAGCCATCAAGCTTACCTCAAGCCTGAGCTGAAGGCGGGCAGCCTAGTATTTAGTTAAACTTGAATATTTTAATTACCAACCCCACCCCAACAGATACTTATGAACAGCTCCTCCTGAAAGATATTTTGGAGCTAGGACAAATCATTTTAGCATATAGGTCCCAATTCACAAACCTTTCTAATTAAGTCTTCGTTAAGTTTAAGCATGTCCTCCAACGGAGTAAAAGCCAATTCCATATCTAGTTGTGTGAACTCAGGCTGTCTGTCTGCTCTCAGATCTTCATCTCTAAAACATCTGGAGCGAAAAATGGAAAAAGGAAAAGAATTTATATCCTGGTTATACTCCAGAAGAGTCTCGCAATAACTAGTGTTACCCTAATTCTTAGCAGAAATTGGATATTGTAACCCCTACCCCATTTTTTCCTAACAAACATAGGAGAAATCAAACCGAGTCCAAGAACAGAACAGGCTCATCTTGACTCTCATCATGCAAATTGAGAAAAGGTTAAAAATTTGTTTGAGTAAATTAGTCTTTCCAAAACAAAACTAAAATTGCAGAAAGCTTATCAAGATAGGAGAAACGGAGAAGAAGTAAAAAACTTACCTTGCTATTTGATAGTATTTATCAAAACCGGAAACCATTAACATTTGCTTGAAAAGCTGCGGACTTTGAGGCAAAGCATAGAATGTTCCTGACTTCAAAATATACATTAGAGTGAATCAAACCTGTTTCATTGTCCCAAATCCCAATAATATAAGTGATGATTGATGAAGACTTGAAAATTTAACACTTGTTGACTGAATAACCACCAGTTAGGATGCAAAAAACTCCTCCATCATAAAAGTTGTTTCATGCAGTCTTAAAGAATTTAATAGCAGCTGGATCACTAATACCTGGATTCTTGAGGGAACCAAATAATCCCGAGCACCTTCTGGAGTAGATCTAGAGAGCATTGGAGTTTCAATCTACCTTGTAACCATGAAAAGGTCAGAAGCAAAACGGAGACTGAGCATGAACCACCATAAAATAACTAAAGAAATAACAATTACTATATTAAAACAATCTTCATAGGGTTACACCTCCACAAACTTATGTACATCCTCTAGGTACCGTCGAATGAGTTTCACCACTTTATGACGCAGCATCATGTTGAAATGCATTTGTTGTCGACGTAAATCAAGGTATCGGTATCTATGAAACAGGTATTCCAACAATAAACATCAACTCAAAGTCCCAAATATATCATAAGGAAAACCATTTGCAGTAAACTGAATTGCTAGATATAATTAAAAAAATAAAAGCAAAAGACCCAAAAACATATCATAAGGAAAACATTTGCGGTAAACTGAATTGATTGATATAATTAAAGAAGTAAAAGCAAAAGACCCAAAAAGAGACTGTAAAACTAAGCTAATCAGGTAATCAGGAACAATGTAGCTCATTCTCTATCCCTTCATATGATAAGACAATATCAGGTTTATAAGCAAACAATGTGCATAGCTTTTTTGACAAATTGAAGTAAGATACAAGTTGGCCACCTTAAACGGATTTCTTCCTTAACAAAATCATTTGAATCATCCGCGCTAGTAACCAAAAATGGAAGCTTTGATCTCACAGCATTCAATATCTGAACATGCTCGGCAGCGACCTGGCAGACATAATTTACACCGAATTAAAGATATAATAATAAAGAATGAATAAGCTCAAATACAGTAATACGCCTCTATTGAGCCGGTTTTCATCAGTAATGGGAATGAAAAGCATAGACTCAAATAGAGTAAATATACCTCTATGGAGCCAGTTTTCATTTTCGTATTAACAGACTCACTGGGCCGAGACCGGACAACACCACCGACAGCAACAACATACTCAACCCTCAAATCTTTAATAGCATCATGAGCATCAGGAAACTCACCCGGAAGCGACGTAATCTATAATTCAAAAACAAACAAAAGCATCATTCCAAAAAGGAAAAATAACCCAACTTTACAATTTCGTTTATAGGAAAGTTTGCAAATGAATACCTGGACGATGCCAGTGTGGTCTCTGAGATTAAAAAAGGTGAGGCCACCATGGACCCGGTGGAGAGCTACCCACCCGCAAAGTCGGACCCGAGAACCCACATCTTGATTTGATAAGCCACCACAGAGAGCGGTGCGGGAGACCCAACGGAGAGAGTCGGTGAGAGGGGATATGGGGTTGGGAGTTTCGGAGGAAACGGAAGGAGGAGGCGATTGAAAAGTGGAAGCTGAAACAGAGGAAAGGGTTCGACTTCGACGGTTACTGCGAAGTGATTTTGGGAGTATAACGGAAGGGAAAACAGAGAGAGGTCTGGCGCGAAAGGAGAGGAGAAGGAAGGATTTGAGAAGCAGAGACATTGTTCCGAGGTTTTTGAGAGAAGGGGATTTCAGCAACGTTGCTCATACGCACAACACAGGGTTTAATGGATTGGGTGCTCGCCTGCGCAGTACGTGGCTTCTATATTGGTTACATTTAGTAAGGATAAACTACAAATTTAATCATTCAAGTTTTGTTTCACTCTTATTTTAGTTATTAAAAATTTTAAAATATATTTTAATCACTCAATTTTAACATTGTATTGTTTTTATCACTCACCATTAAATGATAAAAAATGTATCGACATGAGAGATGGTACAATGATACACCAAAATAATATTATTTTTCACTTCTTACAAAAGCTAAATTTAAACCAAAATAATATCATTTTGAATCTATACAAGAAAAGATTTTCCTTTTTATTTTCCTCTTTTTCTTTTTGTCATCTTAATATTAGGTTAAGCCTATTCAAATTTTAGGCATCATGTTGTACATCGTCTTAGTTGTCGTTGGTTGTCGTCATCGACCGAAAAGTCTCAAAAAAATTCATTAAATTTATTTCATTCTCTTAAAAATAAATATGATCATTTAATTAAAAAATATATCAAAACCCATAAATTTAACCTTATTTTATTATATCTTTTTTATTGTTTCCCTTTCAACACAATATACAATAAACATTTTTTATTTGTTGTTGGATTCATACAATTATGATGGACATTTATTTTAAGTTGTTTCACGCGTTCAAATTGTTAGGAATTTAGGGTTTAGGAATTTATGGATTTATGAGTTTAGGATTTTGGGATAATGAAAAGAGTAATAGTCGGTTAATAAGCTGGCGGCGATAGGTGTTAGTCGTTCGGAAACGGAGATGGTGACTGAAAATGATTGGCGAAGACTGAAAATGAGAGTGGAAATGATAAATTTAGGGCTTTAGGTTTTTCTTTATAATTTCATAAAAATGTGAGCTTTTTTAAATTAATAATTTTCTTTAAATAATAATAATTTTAAAAAATATAAATGCGACATGGGTTAGATAACGGTTTTTTAATGGTCGTTACGGTATAAGTACTTAAAAGCGTAATGTTGAAAAATTTAGGCACCTACTTTGAGCGAAAAAATTTTAGACGTAAAGTTTGGACACTTGTTTTTGCATTAGACTTTTTTTTTATTTTAAAACTTATATGGTATAAATATTAATAAGATAAGTTATATTATAATAAAATAAGTCATGACATCGTACTTTTTATGATTTAATGGTAAGAGTAATTCAAAAGTTCAGTGATTAAATTGAAGATTGTTAAACTTCAATGACTGAAATATAAAAGGAAAATAAAGCTAAATGGTAAAATTTATGATTTACCCTAAAACAAACCGTGTAAACTACAAGGAGCTCGTTAATGTTTTCATAAGTTAGTTTAATCATTAATGTTTTAAACACTAAGGGGTCCGGTTTTATCGTAAAATTATCATTCTATCGTGATGGCCTATTAATGTTTTAGTTTAAGGAGATCTTGGGTGTTGATAGCTTCATTTTATGGATTTCAAATGTTCTGAGTTTATGGGATTATGACCGAGTTAAGGACAGTAGGATCAACCGTGATTAGTAAAGAAAAATATTAGACGACAGCATTTTCACCTTTAGCGTGCACAATGCTGCATTCATCAGTACTGTCTGCTTGATCTACAGCAATGCGTGGCATTTGCAATAGAGGAGTTACCTGCTACAAGATGACAAACATGGATAGAATTAGTGGCCACTTGCCATGCACCCTCCTTACTCAGTCAGTAAGTACTTCATATTTTCCAGGTTGGACAGGGCATTTGGCTGCGAAAACAAAGGACAATGCAGGAGAGAGTGCACTGGAGAAGAAAACAATTTCAAGTAGGTTAAGACATTTGAAATGAAGGCGGGTTCTTCCATATTTTGATATTAAGAAAGAGAAGAAGTAGTTTACTCTTCTCCATGCGTCTTTTCTTGGGTTTCTACTCAAAGTCAAGATTCTCGCTAATCTCCACGTTGCGATTCGACTCTGCTTCCTTGAAACAAACTTCATTTGGCTTTGGGGTTTCGACCCTCTACATAAATTGCATATATAATTATTATCTGACAATTCATATGTAGAGTTATCTGCTAATATAATATTTGTTTTTCCCAAGAGGCCTTCATTTTATCTAGAGCTAAGATGGTAAACCCCCAAGTATCAACGCAATAATGAAGTTCGACCTTCTTTTCTGTGAATTCATTTCGACTATAGCCATGTCTGTTGGCTGCCACCCATAACTGATGCTTGATTTGTTTGAGTTACTCGATGGTAGCATGTTTATTCCGTTCATTTCTCTTATTTAAGTAGAGAGTTATAGTTGGTGAGATGACAACATTTGACCGATGTCTACAGAAATGAAGGCATAAGTGTAAAGAAGGAGAAGGAAGTAGTCAGGATTTTCTTATTTGGTGTGGTTGAAGAGTATTTATAGTAACTCTAATCGATGGTGTCAAATATAAAGTAATTATACCTACTCATAGGTCACCAACTAAATAAATTTGATCATTAGATCTTGAATTTCGTTATAGTAAATCATACGAGTCTATCGGAGATTTTGTTTATACACTATAACTTGTTTAATATTACAATACTCTTATGTGCAAAAAATATGAATTTCCAAAGATTATGATAAAAAAAATTATTTAAAAGCGGAGAACTAAAATTTCTGGAAGTGACATTAGAAGTTATAACAAACTCCATTGCCTTTTATTTCTCCCGTAATATTTCTATTATCACCATATTCCATGAAAAGTGAATGGGGAAGAAAGCAGTATTTTTTTTCTTCAAATAAAAACATGTAAATCATAATAATTGTTTGACCTTCAACTTTCAGCCCTTTTGAGGTATTTTCATCTTAAGTGCGACCCTCCTTTTTGATTATTTTGAAAGGTACGTGCACCACCAACCATGCATTCACAGCCATCATTCCACAATGAACCCATACGTGTGACGCAGACATGATTGCAAAAACAAGACATTTTTTATTACTATAAAAGTTAGCTCACTCAACATGATTCCCCATGCCAGCTACATCCATGCACTTATGTGTTTACCAGCTGTACCGTTTCTCTTTCATGAAGCGTTCTACAAAGTTACATTTCACGCATAAGGTTTAGGGTTTAAGTTCGGACAATGACATCAATGTGGGTCAAGGGTACATCAGTTTAAGGTTTAAACTTCATCTAAACAATGAATTGTTGATAGGAACAAGTTTATTTAGTCGATTGTTGGCGATCATCCCTTCTAATTTAAGAGGAGAGTCGCAATCGTTGAGAAATAGATCATCGCCCAGTATTCATCCTTTAAGTTATGTTATTGTGAGTGGCGTAAGTCTATCAAATGTCATATTTAGAGATCTTACGTGATAGACTATCTAAAGGTTAATGGCATTATTATTCCAAGATTAGAGATCTTTTAGCAACCTTGATGAACGGAAGAGCCTATTTAACGCTTTCAGCTGGTAGGGGAATTACTAGTTTTTGGAGATCATAGGTATAATAGAACTATTGCTATAAATAATCCCTAGTCGCCTCAATGTTTCTTTTCCCATGGCTCCTTTTAAAAGTGCCCTGTATAGAGCATCGCCCTGATCGGTCAATTAAAAAGGCCACCACAAAGCCACAACAAAAACTTGTTTACACCCTTCTTTTAATGAAAAAAAAGGGACTCACCTCTCCATTCCAAAAAGCTATCTTCAAAGGTGGTATTGCTTTCTAAGACAAGGGACAAGTAAAAAGATATGGCCACCCTTTGCTTTCATGCACATATTTGTATACAGCTCATATATAGCTCTCCTACCTATGCGTCTTATCTTGCCCTAAGTACACTAATCAATGTTTCTCTATGTTAAAACAACAATGGTTCTTATTTATTTCAACTTATAAAAGAAATATATATATCCTCAGTGTAATGAGTAGTCTCAATCCATCATACTGTCTCTTCTGTACCTTGTAAACCCAGATTTTATACTTTATTCTGCTGCAATTAATGCTGGTTTTGGATGTTTCATATATATATATATATATATATATATATATATATCGTATTGGAGTTAATAATTATGTCTTTGGTGCATTTAATGCTGGTTTCAGTGAATTTTCTATTCTAGCTTTAAAGCAACTTGGGGTATCGCCATATTTGAACCAGTTGGAGTTCAAGGAAGCAACAACACACAAACGCTCCAACAGAGGTAATGTCTGAATCTGATTCCATCTTTGGCTCCATTTTGTCTGCTTCTCTTTTATTAGTCTTGTACTGGAAAAATATTGCATGCCTATGTTTTTTTTTCTTCCCAAATATTTTTTGCTGGCAAATCATAATCGTATCTGCCCACGCAATGCTGCTCTAAACTGAATTTTCCCCCCCTTAGGAATGAGAATCTCAGCTGAACTTGCTTTTATTACGATAAAAGTTACTTCCTTTGAGATGAAATATATGCAACGATCAGCCAACTCCGTTTTCAGCTCTTAACATACAGATTTTTCACATTGACACTGATCCATTACAGAAAAAGGACAAGAAGAACAAGTTAAACACAATCTTTGAAGCTTCAAGTATATATCCTAGTTTTTTGATTGTATGATTTTGTTACCCAGAAGATAAATGGGAGAAATAAAGGGTCATGTCGAAGCTAAGATCGGAACTTCAAATATCGAAGTCCGAAACTCGTTGAAGCAGGAGGTACAAATTCTCAGCCTTTTCATTTATGTATATGTTATATGTATGTGTGTGTGTACATTGAAAGTAATAATAATTTCCATTTTCATATTTCTGCAGATTCTACAGCTTGAAGAACGATTGCAGGACCAATTTGTGGTTAGGAGTACATTGGAGAATGCATCAAGTCATAGGCCGTTTACCTATGATTTAGCAGTTGAAAATTTAATCCCCACAGTAAATTCATTAGTTCTGTTACTATTTTCTTTTATAAGTAACTTTTTGCCATTAGTTGATTACATTTATCCGGGTAAATCCCATTGATTTTGTTAATGAAATGATACATCAATCAAATTCCAGGATGCCAAGGAACTTATCAAGGATATTGCAGTTTTAGAACTGGAAGTTGT